CAGGTGCTGCTGCAGCTGATGCGAGCTGTAGCCGCAGCACTAGGTTGCTGCTATCCTGCTGCGCTGTAGCAGGTTGCGGGCTGCAGCAGGTTGCTGTTGTGCTGCTGCGCTGCAGCAGCAAGTTGCTGTTGTGCTGCTGCGCTGCAGCAGCAAGTTGCTGCTGTGCTGCTGCGCTGCAGCAGCTGTCTTTTCTTTTTTTTTTTTCTATCGAGACCCAAACAGCAGATCCATCTTCTTCATATCCGAGAAGCTCTCCCCTGCATGCTGCCTCTTTCGCTTCAGCAGCAGCAGCAGCTTGTGGCTTATCACGCGACCCGTTGCCTGCAGCAGCAGCAGCAGCAGCAGCAGCAGCAGCAGCAGGAGTAGCAGTAGATGTAGCTGTAGTGCAAAGCGGGTTAACACAGCAGGCAGCCTTCGCGTGCGGTGGATGGAAAGGTTTAGGGTTTAGGGTTTAGGGTTTAGGGTTTAGAGTTTAGGGTTTGGGTACAAGAGAGTTGTCTAGTCACGCAACAGCTGAGGGTTTGAGATATCTCTCGCTGTGAACCCTGTTGAGGGTTTGTCAGGGTTTAGGGTTTTCTAGGGTTTGAGGTTTGCTAGGGTTTATGTTTCGCTAGGGTTTACGCTTTGCTAGGTTGCTAGGGTTTAGGGTTTAGGGTTTAGGGTTTGTGTCGTGGCTTGTCTGCATAGGAACCAGATATATTTATCGATGAGGGTTTTGAAGGGTTCGCTACGGTCTAGGCTTTGCTAGGGTTTAGGGTTTTCTAGGGTTTAGGGTTTAGGGTTTAGGGTTTGCGGCCTGACTTGTTTGCCTAGAAACCAAATATATTTATCGATGAGGGTTTTGAAGGGTTCGCTACGGTCTAGGCTTTGCTATGGTTTAGGGTTTTCTAGGGTTTAGGGTTTAGGGTTTAGGGTTTGCGGCCTGACTTGTTTGCCTAGGAACCAGATATATTTATCGATGAGGGTTTTGAAGGGTTTGAGTTTGTGCTGAACCTCGAACGCGCGAAGCTCCACCAACACGTTGTCCAGCCGGATAGCGCCTGAAACACCCAACAAACCCTAAACCCTAAACCCTAAACCCTAAACCCTCAACAAACTCTAAACCCTAAGCCCTCAACAAACCCTAAACCCTAAACCCTCAACAAACCATAAACCGTAAACTCTCAACAAACCCTAGACGATAAACCCTCGACAAACCCTAAACCCTAAACCCTCAACAAACCCTAAACCCTAAACCCTCGTCCGCAAACCATAATCCATGTGCATCCCCAGGGAGCCGCCGCCTCTGCTGCAGGACAAACCTCTGTATGTTACAGCAGCAGCAAAAGGAGAGACTCGGACGAAGCGGAAGTACACCCCAAGGCCTGGATCCTGCTGCTGCTGTGCCTGCTGCTGCTGCTGCGGCAGCAACGCAGGCTGCTGCTGCTGCTGCTGGGGTCTCGCGGGCAGCCGCCGTGATGAATCTGCTGCTGTTGCTGCTGCTGCTGCTGCTGCTCCTCTCTGGGCCCCTGCCTGGCTCCCCAATAAGCTGCTGCTTCTTGACCCCGTCCCTGCGGCCGCACGCAGCACATCACAGCAGCAGCAGCAGCAGCAGCAGCAAATGTCGTCAGCAGCAGCAGCAGCAGCAGAGACACCGCAGCAGCTGCGCTATCTGCAATCAATACCTACATGAAAGATGTGCCTGCTCTCCCCTTGCTGCTGCTGCTGCTGCTGCTGCTCCTTGGCCCCTCCGCAGCACCGCCACATCAACCGAAGCAGCAGCAGCAACTGCTGCTTCAGTCGGTGAAGCGAGTTCTCCTGAGCTTTGGCTGCAGAAGCTGCCAGCAGCAGCAGCTGCTGCTGCTGCAGCAGGCCACTTGAATGAAGGGGCGAGAAGAGCAACAGCATCTGCTGCTTGGGGTGCAGCAGGAGGAAAGAAGAAGCTGTAGATACACTCCACGAATGCAGACGTCAGAGACACCCGCACGGGGTCGATGTGCAGCAGCAAATAGTCAAATACCTGAACGCACGCAGCAAAAGCAGCAGCAGCAGCAGCAGCAGCAGCAACAGCAGCAGCAGCAGCAAAGAGCAGAACAGTTATGCACGAGACGGCCAACCCGGCAGGAGGAATGCAACCGACCCCAAAGCAGCAGCAGCAGCAGCAGAAACAGCAGCAGCAGCAGCAGCAACAGCAGCCGCAGGAACACTAGCAACAGCAGCAGCAGCAGCAGCAGCAGCAGCAGCAGTACCTGAAAGCGGCCGCAATCTAGAACAACAAATCTGTGGCTGCAGCGAAGAGAGACAGCGTGAGCTGACAGTCTGTGGGTGAGGCCTTCTTTCTGTCTCCATACATCAGCCCCCACGTTGTCTTCAGTTGCTGCTGCTGCTGCTGCATCCCGCTGCTGCTGCTGCTGCTGCTGCTGCTGCTGCTGCTGCTGCTGTGTCTGCAGCTCAAAGAGAGGAGAGATGATACGCACTGCCTTCACACCCGCAGGCAGCACAATACCCAAAAAGTAAGAGACAGAGAAAGCGGGCTGCGACAGCTGCATGCGTCGTCGCTGCTGCTGCTCCTCTTCCTCCAGCTCGTGCTGCTGTCGTTTCTGCTGCTGTTGCTGCTGCTGCTGCTGCTGTTCCTGCTGTTCCTGCTGCTGCTGCTGCTCCTCCCTCTCTCGCGTGCGCTCCCGCTGCTCCTTCTGCAGCCCCCGCAGCAGCTCCTGCTTTGCTTCGTCAGCTTCTCTCCCAACAGCTGTGACGGGGAAGGAATCAAACAGGTCTGCTGCTGCTGCTGCTGCTGCTGCTTCTGCTGCTGCTGCTGCTGCTTCAGGGCTCCCCGGGGTCGCTGCAGGTGCTTCAGTCCCTCCCGCTGCTGCTGCTGCTGCTGCTGCTGCAGTTTCTTCATGTGCTGCTATCGAAGATGTCTCTGCAGCAAACTGCTCGCGCAGCTTCAGAAGCAGCGAAGCCTCTTCTTCTACGATTGCTTCTGCTGCTGCTGCTGCTGCTGCTGCTGCTGCTGCTGCCTCTTCTGTTACTGCCTCTTCTGCTGCTGCCTCTTCTGTTGCTGCATCTGCTGCTGCTGTGTCTTCTGCCTCTGCTGCTGCTGCATCTGCTGCTGCTTCATGCAGCTTCGACTCACTGCTGCTGCTGCTGCTGCTGCTGCTAGACGTCAGCACTGTGTGCTCGTCATCTGAGTAGGGCGCCAGCGTGCCCACTGCCCCTGATGCTTCCTCATCGCTGCTGCTGCACGTGCGTCTGCTGCTTCTACTTCTGCTGCTGCACGTCCCTCAAGGAAATCAGCAGATG